ATCCGGACAATAAAATTCTCTACAGGCATTAGAAATGTCACTGTACTGATTTATTTATAGACACAAGGGAGGAAGTGAAGAAAGGCAGATTACACAACAGCATTTTTGTATAATTTGACCGAATTCATGTTGGATATAGACTTTCTTTTATACCTAGTTATATTTATATACGTCAAAGAAATTTGGTAGGTCAAATAGGACCTGTTGTTCATTACTCTGGTAGAAAAATTACTAAAAACATTTGAAAAATTTTATATAATGAACGTATAATACTAGTAACAGTTAGGGGCTGGAGCAATAGCACAGCAGGTAGGGCGTTTGCCTTGCACGCGGCTGACGCGGGTTTGAATCCCAGCATCCCATATGGTCCCCCAAGCACTGCTAGGAGTAATTCCCAAGTGCATGAACCAGGAGTAACCCTTGAGCATCACTGGGTGTGACCCCCTACCACAAAAAAAAAGCAAAAAAACAAATACTAGTAACAGTTATCCATTTAAGGTAGCCAAGCAGTGTATAAAGCACATCCTCTGTGTTGTGTTTAATCACCACGAGGATTGAACCAGGTGCATTGGTAAATCTATTTTAAACCAGGGGAAACCAAGACTTGGGGTAAATGACAGGGGGGTGAGTTTTCTTTTGCTGCTTTAGCAAATTTTCATACACCAAGTGGTTCAAAATTGCAAAAACGTAGTATTTATTTTTCATTTTTGAGCCACGCCAGGTAGTCCTCAGGGGCTACTCCTGCCTCTGTGCTCAGGGGACTATGAAGCCCCAAGGATTGAGCCCAGGCCTCCTGCGTGCAAACCATGTGCTCGCGACAGAGCTGCCTCCCACCCCGAAAATTATTATCTTACTGCTCTGCAGGCCAAAAATCTGAAAGGGGAGGAGAAGGAGCACCCCCTCCCCCCGCCCCCAGCAGAGTTTGTAGGAGTGCCTGCTTCCCCCACGCTGGCTGGCAGTAGCTCCTCCTGGGAGTTACTGATTCCCAGAATTTGGGGCAAAAATTGTCAGTGGCATTCTATGTATTTCAAGGCTCCTGGGGAGAATCAGTTGCTTTTTCCTGACTTCTAGAGGCCAACTGCAGGCCTGGTACCATCTTCAAAGCATCTGTCTTTGCATCCACATGAATCCTTCTGGTTCTGGTGTTCTGACCTTTCTTTGTCTTCCCATTTAAGAATCTTTCTGAGTATGTTAGACGCCTGGCTATTTTCTAGAATAACCTCTGCATTTTGGGGTAGGGTGGGGTTTGGGGACACAGCCAAAGGTGATAGTGGGCCTACCCCTGGCTCTGCTTGGGCGACGCTCAGGAGCCCAGAGGACCATGCGGTGGGGGAGATTAAGCCCGGAACTCTCACATGCTAAGCTTGTGCCCTTGGAGTTAACCCTCTGAACCAGTAATCTCTCCACTTTAGCCCAGCTGATTAGCAGCCTTAACTGCTTTTGCCAGGTAACAGAATAGATTCATGAAGGCTGGGGGTGGACTTGTGGACCTCGGAGATGCCACGTTTTTGCTACTCCTGTCCAAGGTTTGCCCCAGGCTTCAGAGGTTCTGACTGGTCCATTGGGAGTGTTAACTCATCCCGACTCCCATGTCCATGTCCTCAGAGGATGCTTGGTGGCCAACTTATTTATTAAAGAAAATAACTGTTGGCTCGGAGTGACAGTACAGTGGGTAGGGCCTTGCACGCGGCTGACCCGAGTTTGATTCCCAGCATCCCATATGGTCCCCGAGCACCGCCAGGAGTAATTCCTCAATGGAGAGTCAGGAGGAACCCCTGAGCATCGCTGGGTGTAATGCAAAAAGCTAAAAAGAAAAATTTTTCAAAAAGCTAAAAAAGAAAGTGTCATTCCATTTCCTTTTCCTTTAATTTTCTGGTGTCTGGGGTTGTACACCTGGTTGGGGTGCCCAGGGCCACTGTTGTGCCACCAGGAGAGAATACTGGCACTGCCAGGAATTTTACTCAGAGCTGTGGAGAGGTTCCGGGGGTCAAACTTGTAACCTCATGCACACAAGGCAAGGCAGGTATCACTGACACACGTTCTAGTGAGAAGTGTGTGTGTGTGTGTGTGTGTGTGTGTGTGTGTGTGCGTGCAGGGTGCTATAAATTGATCCCAGAGCCTCGCAATGATACCAGGCAAGTTCAAGTGTTCTTGCACTAACCTATATAATGAAGAAATTAAAAAATACACATATGTATGTATGTAAAAAATAAATTAGGTTCAGAGACAGAATGGTGGGTAAGGTCTGTGTCTTGTGCAGGGCTCCATTCCCAGTACTCTAATATGGCAGGTCCACTGAGCCCTGCCAAGAGTCATCCCCTACTGCAAAGGCAGAAATAAGCCCTGAGCACACTCATGTGCAACCCCAAAATAAAACTTAAAAGAATTCTCTGATCCTTGTCCCTTTAGCCTATATTCAGCCTAATAGTTCAGCATCCTTGTGCCCCTAACTAAATGTCCCCGTTTTCTTAAAACTGGTCTGCCCACTGGCTCACACCCCATGCCCCATGCTTGCTTTCATTTCAGGCCTTCCTTGCACGCCCTCTCTACCTGGGTGTATCACTGTTGGTCAACAGAGAAGTTAAGGATTCGATAAGGTAAAGGTAAAAGGTAAAGGCCCTCCCGTTGTTCGTCGATTTGCTCGAGCGGGCCCAGTAACGTCTCCATTGGAGACTTTGTTGTTACTGTGTTTGGCATATCGAATACGTCACGGGGAGCTTGCCAGGCTCTGCCGTGTGGGCGAGATACTCTCGGTAGCTTGCCGGCTCTCTGAGAGGGGCGGAAGAATCGAACTCGGGTCGGCTATGTTGGCTGCGTGCAAGGCAAACGCCCTACCGCTGTGCTATCGCTCCAGCCCCCAAGGATTCGATAAGATGACAAGGAAAGTATTGGGGAGTGACAGGGGTGCTCACTTCCAGAGTGTAGGGGAGACAAAGAGAAAAAAAGCATCTTTATCTGCAGCGCAGGGAAGGAAGAGGGGAATTCAGTCTTGAGAGGGAGGGGGGAGTCCAGAAGGGAGCCATGTCACTGAAGGATGTGGCTCAGATATAGGACATCTGCCTTGCATGTGTGAGGCCCAGGACTCAAACCCCGGCATAAACAAAACGAACTAAAAAACCATCCCACCCCCCGTCAAAGCAACCGAACAAAAAGCAAGCATCAGAAACACCACTTCAGAGAGAGCTCTGAATCTCCCAGGACTAAGGCTGGACCTGTAGTCACTGGTTAGGAAGCAGTTAGGGAGCATTTGATAATTTGGGTGCAATCCCTGGGAACACATGGTCCCCAGGGAGTGCCCTGGAATTCCGCAGGGATGAGCCAGGCAATCCTTAGCTTTGTGAGATCCTTGGTCCCTTCAGTGGCTGAAATTTGCTGGAGGGGGTGGGGGGGGCGCCTGAGCCCCCTCAGCACCATTTTGGAGCCCCACCCTGTACGAATCCCGGCAGAGTGAGCTCTGCTACTGGCTGGGGACAGGCACCCAAAGCATAGCCTTGGTCAAAGGCACAGTGCTGAAGCTGGGGCCTTGGCACCCCTGCACCGCCCCCTTACCATCCTTCGCTATCTGAGCAATGCATTTACAAGGTTGGCATAGGTATTGCAAAATGTTGTTCCCATATTTAAACGTTCCATGAAAGTTCGGGATGAGTTCCAGAGAAGAGTTTACGTAAGTTTTCAAAATCTTTCTGCGTATGCCTTTAAAACCAAAGAGCTTTCTTTTTTGAACACCTGTCTGGTGGAATGGCGTCTAGATCTCATGAATATCGAATGATGTTTAATATAAACAGTGAGAGGAAAGGTGCTTGGATTTCTCCAAATGCGGCCAATCAAGGAGGTGCTGTTAATGCCAGAATTATGGCTGAAGATGGTCTGTCTTTTCTTTGGTGATCTGACCCAGCAACCAGCCAGATGGTTTTAAAATTTTATCCTTTTAAAAAATTGTGGTATTGGGGGGTAGGGGGGAGAGCCCACTTGCGGGCTTTGGGGATCATTCCCTGCAGTGGTTGAGGACATGTGACAGTGGGGGGATGGAACCAGGCCTCTATCATGCTAAGCAGGAGCTCTGCCCACGGAGCTGTCTCCCCGGTCCTTCATTTTAATCAACTGATTCCTCTTTCTGTTCGGGGGCCACACCCAGTGGAGTGCCGAAGAACCATGCCAAACCTGGTCCTCAAGCACGCAAAGCCTGTTCTCAATAGTACAACGAATCCAGAGCCGTGTGCATGCAAAGGTATGCCCTGCACTGCTGAGTCACACTCCCAGCTCCTGCCACGCTTGTTATTTTTGTTTGGGGGCCACACTTGGCGATGCTCAGGGGTTCCTCTTGGCTCTGCACTCAGGAATCACTCCTGGTGGCGCTGGGGGGACCATATGGGAAGCGGGAATCAAGCTCGGGTGTGCCTCGTGCAAGACAAAGGCCCTACCAGCCGGCTGTACTATGGCTCCGGCCCCTCTGCCACTTTATTTTTTATACTTAATTTTATCTCAGGCTGTCCAATTCCTTGCAAACATTCATTTATAAACTTTGTGAAAGAATGACTGTTAAACGCGTCAGTTGTCTTGAAGTGACAATATAAGTAAGGGTCTGTGGGAAAGCTGAAGAATACCACTTTTATTCCAATAAAATGACTAATATATATATGCATATAAAAGCAGAGACACACACACACAGGGGCGAGGTGGGGCACGCAGGGTAGGCCCATTGCATTGCTTGAAACAACAGGGAACCAGCGGTCGCGGGGAGTGGGTTCCCTCCGTGCAGAATGCCAGGCAAAGCCCGCTGCAGCGACCCACCGGGTTGGCCCCAACGCGGAGCGCGTGCAGCCGAGTCTCGCGCTGATTGGAAGGCACCGGCGTGGGCGGGGCCTCGGCCCGCGCGAGTCTCACGCTGATTGGAAGATCCGGGGGGCGGGACCGCAGCCCGCTCGAGTCTCGCCGTGATTGGAGGAGCCGGCGGGCGGGGCCTCGGCCCCGCGCGTGCGCAGCCCCGCCCGCCCGCGCAGGCCCCGGGATCTTCTCGGACCAGTGCTCGGGCGAGCGCAGTGCGAGTCCCCCTTGGCCTTCGCCGGACTGCTCGCCGCCCTCTCTGGCCGCTCTGCCCACTCAGCCCCGCCATGCCGGTGGACATCAGCAAGTGGACCGGGCCCTTGAGCCTGCAGGAGGTGGACGAGGCCCCGCAGCACGCGCTGCAGGTCAAGTACACCGGGACGGAGATCGACTCGCTGGGCAAAGTGCTGACGCCCACCCAGGTACCCGAGGGCGGCGGGGCAGCTCCCCGGCCTGCGTGAGCCCCAGCTGGCCGCCGCGGCGGGGGTGGGGCGGTGTCTCAGGCCCCGGCGTCGGGCCCCTGGGGGACCCCGCCCCCGTCCCCGGAACCCGCACGTGGCGGGCGGCGTGTTTGCGGGAGAAACGGGCCCACCGTCCACGCGGGGGGCCTGGCCGGGCCTGCAGACCGCCAGACCCCCGGGGCCGGGGGATGCACGGGGGCCGTGGCCGTCCCCGCCCCGAACGCCCTCCGGCCGGGTGTCCGGGTTTGCCGCCCCGCGTTTGGGAAGCCGGAGCCCCGCGCCTTTGTCCTGGCGGGTTTTTGGATGAAGCCACCAGAACGGACGGGGGGTTCCCGGGTAGCCGGCTCCGCCGCCCTTGCAGGCTCTGGCAGCCCGGAAGCACGTTGTGATGAGGCTGCCCCTGCCCCCACCGTTGACCGTTGGGGATGTCCCCATCAAAACGTCAGTTCTTCGGCCCCTTCCCCAGATGCACCAGCCGCCACCGCGGCTCCCTCGCTGTGCGCTTTGGATCAGAGTGCGGCGCGGCCCGTGGTCCTTGAGCAGCGCGAGTTCCTTTCCTCCTGGTCACTGAGCACCGTGTATGCGTGGAGCCGGGACTTCAGCCCCAGGGTTGAAATCCTGGCCCTCCCCATCGGCCCTGCAGGCGGTCGTGCATGTGAGGCAGCAGCTCCCGGCTCGTCCCAGAGTGCGCTGGGCTTTCTTAATAGTATATGACCTTATTATTTCTTTCCAGTGGAAGCTGACATCAGGGAAAGTGTGGCGGTTCCTCCCACCTTTCTGACTTGATGGTCCCAACGGGGTCTTCCCTGCAGGTGAAGAACCGGCCCACCAGCATCGCCTGGGATGGCATGGATTCTGAGAAACTCTACACCTTGGTCATGACAGACCCCGATGCTCCAAGCAGGAAGGACCCCAAGTTCAGGCAAGTTGGGGCAGAGCTGCAGATTCTTCACAAGGCGTGTGCTAGGGCCCACAGGATTGGGCTGTTCACAGCCTGCTCAGGCGAAAGGCAGGAGGGTTGGGGGTGCAGCCTCCGGAGCACTTACAGCTCCCAGCCTGTGTCTGCAACCTCCTGGGCTCAGATTGCTTTGGTTTTGTCTTTGGGTTGGGGGCTTCTCCTAGCTTAGTGCTTCGGGGACTGTGGGCTACCAAGCACGGTCTTTCCAAGGTTCAGAATTCACCTAGTTCAGAATGCTCATAAAAAACAACTTGGGTCTGGAGTGATAGTACAGCAGGGAGGGCATTGGCCCTGCATGCAGCTGACCCGGGTTCAATCCCCGGCATCCCATATGGTTCCCCAGGCACCGCCAGGAGTGATCCCTGAGTGCAGAGCCAGGAGGAACCCCTGAGCATCGCTGTGTGTGACCCCCCCCCCAACAACAACAAAAACAACAAAAACCTCACAACTTAAAAAAAAAAACAGTTGGGAAAATGGAAAGACTACTTCCGGACATGTGCAAATTTCACAAAGTTCAAGATTTCAGCCTCCGAAAAGTGTTGGTGGAATCTGGCTGCTGCCAGCTCTCCCCTCAGCCGCTTCCCAGGGGCGCAGAGAGCGGCGTGTCTGACAGGAAAGCAGGACCCGCTGGGCTGAAACGGCTGCTGGCTGACAGATCATCGCAGGGGGGCTTGGGCAGCTCCTCTTCCTGCCCACACACAGTGATGGGCCAGCACGGGCCTCCGGCAGGTGTGGTGTGTGCGGGTGGGGGATGCTGGGGCAGGAAGTCTGTCGGTGCTCATCCCCGTGTCCCCCCACTTAGGGAGTGGCACCACTTCCTGGTGGTCAACATGAAGGGCAGCGACATCGGCAGTGGCACCGTCCTCTCCGACTACGTGGGCTCTGGGCCTCCCAAGGGCACAGGTCAGTAAAGGCCGCTTGTGGGGTTGGAATGCGACCAGTTCCCATGAAGTGACTCACAAATAAGCCACAGTTTCCAATTGTTTTTTTTTTGTGTTATACCTGTCAGTGCTCAGGGCTTCCTTCCTCCTAGAGGGACTTGGGGACCCTATTGTGGTGCTTGGGATTAAACCCCGTCAGTCACCCTACTCACTGTGCTACCTCTCTGGCCCCTACATTTTTTTTTTTTTTATAAAAATGGGTTTCCTTCTCTTACTCCCTGTTCATTGTTTAATGCCTCACCTAGGGGTGCTCTGGGGGACTGCTCCCAGCTCGGGGCTTGGGGTTTGCTCTTGGGGGTGGGAAAGAATGTGATGCCAGGGGTCAAACCCGGGGCTCCTTCATGCAAAGCACGCGCTACAGCTCTTTGCACCACAGCCTTCTCTCTCTGTTGCTCCCCCTTTCCCTCAGTCTCCTACGGGGTCATTTGAAAAGGTGGAAAGGTTTTAAGTGAACTCTATTGAAGATACACATGTGATGTTAAGGATATCTACTGTATAGCTTAGGGAGAAGGAGAAGAGAGGGAGAGAGAGAATGCTGTATTGAAATGCTTCAGCTTTTGTAAGTGCTTCTCAGCTACTGGTGGGAGGTGCTCCTGTGCAAAAGTTAGCAGGTATTGGGGCTGGAGCGATAGCACAGCAGGTAGGGCGTCTGCCTTGCACACAGCCGACCTGAGTTCGATTCCCAGCATCCCGTATGACCCTGGAGCACCGCCAGGAGGAATTACTGAGTACAGAGACAGGAGTAACCCCTATGCGTCACTGAGTGTGACCCAAAAAAGAAAAAAGAAGTTAATCAGGTATTTCCATTCGGGGAGCACAGCAAGAGCAGTGTTAGGTGGATGGTGGAGGGCTCTAGAGCTTCTGAGATCTCCAGCCAGGAGTGAGGCTGAAGATGTTCGGGAAAGAGCCTGACCTTCAGTGATCGGGAGGCTCAGATACTGCAGAAAGCTTCGAGCCCTCTGTGTGCTTCTACGAGGAAGGTAAAAGTGTATCTTTCCCAGGAATCTATTAAGTTCTCTGGGGCAGTTACAAAATTAGGCAGTTTAATTATGTGAAGTGCTCACCAGAGAATAAAGCAATTCTCTCAAGTAAGCTGTGTTCTCATTAACCAAAGAAATGCTTCCGCCTTCTTTTTTCCATTTGCTTTTGTTTTTTCAAAAAATATTTTCAAGTGAAGTATTCTAAACATGACAGAACACACAGATCATGGGGTTTCTTCTGTGAATACTGAGCGATGCACAGCATGCCCGGGGAGGCACCATTCAAAATAGATTATTGGGGCCAGAGAGATAGTAGAGGGGTAGGGCGCATGCATTGCATGGGACCGACCTGGGTGATATCCACAGCATCCCATATGGTGCCCTGAGCTTGCCAAGAGTAATTCCTGACATACTGGGGGTTTTTTGGGCTGAAAACTGGACTTTCTCAAGGTCAGGGTAGGTGACCTCCCTCCATCTCCCAGTACAGAAGCTTCCAGAAGAAGACACCCCAACAGTCACATCCATGACCCGCTGCTGACACCATAGAAGCTCACTGCCCAGTTAAATATTCTGGATTTTCTGGAGCATGTGGCTGCGACAGCTCCAAATTGCAGAGTACTGACACCCCAGTAGGGGGCGCCCCAGATGATATAACGTAGATGCCAGCCAGTCTCGACTAACAAAAAATGTTAACACACAAAGCTCAGCTAGCGTCACCGGCTCCGTGACCCCTCAGTCAGACTTAATGTCCCCATGGTGAGATGCAGCAATTTTCACAAATTTTCTTCTGGTGAAATATTTTTTGGTTATTCTGTTAGCCATTTAGTGGTAATAAGCAAATATAAAATCATTGGTGGCTAGGAAAACGGAGACGGTGTGGAGAGAAGGTGACGGCGGTGGTGGGGTTGGGGTTGGAATGTTGAATGCCTGTGTCAGACCCTCATGCGCAACTTTGTAAACTAGGGTGTCCAAATGAAGTGGGGAAAAGGAGAGTGATTCCTGAGTGTAGGGCCAGGAGTAAGCCCTGAGCGTCTCTGGGGGTGGCAGAAATCGCGATTCCTCACCGTCCTCCCATTGTTCATCGATTTGCTCGAGTGGGCACCAGTAACGTCTCCATTGTGAGACTTGTTACTGTTTTTGGCATATTGAATACACCATGGGGAGCTTGCCAGGCTCTGCCGTGTGGGCGGGATACTCTCGGTAGCTTGCCAGACTCTCCGAGAGGGACGAAGGAATCGAACCCAGGTCGGCCACGTGCAAGGCAAACGCCCTACCTGCTGTGCTAACGCTCCACCCATTAAAAAATATTTTTTTATTTTAATAATTTTTAAATTTTATTTTCACTGTCACTGTCCTCCCATTCATCGATTTGCTCAAGCAGGCCCAGTAACGTCTCCATTGTGAAACTTGTTATTACTGTTTTTGGCATATTGAATACTCCACGGGGAGCTTGCCAGGCTCTGCCGTGCGGCGGGATAGTCTCGGTACCTTGCCAGGCTCTCCGAGAGGGATGGAGAAATCGAACCCGGCTTGGCCTCGTGCAAGGCAAGCGCGCTACAGACTGTGCTGTCGCTCCAGCCCACCTCCCCCTTAAAAAAAGATTCTTAAATGTTTCTGTTACCCCAGAAGTATCTTCTGTGATCTTTAAGGTTAAACTCCCCAGAAGGAAACACTGCTGACTCCCATCTACAGGGAGCATTTTTGCTCCGAAAGTGAGAACGCAGTGTCTGCTTGTGTCCGGCGACTGCTCTCTTTCTGGCTTGAGAGTCCCATGTGCTGCTCTTTGTGTCTGTAGCTTTTGTCTGATCAACCTTTGAGTGACACTTTATTCTTTGTCTGTACCACAGTTGGTGAAGCCGTTCTGTTGATGACTATTTTTTTTCAGGCCTTGGATATTATTTTGTAGGTTATGTGTTCCTGTTTCTTTTGGGTACCTAGGAGTGAACTGTTGGGTCATAGAAATTGTCCCAAAGGTATCCAAATTCTGTTGTTTTGTTGTTGTTTTGTTTTGTTTTTTGAAACACTCTGATCATTGGGTTTCCGGTATATCCATAGACAGTGCATATCAGACTTTATCCATGTTGGAGCGTACCGGAAGATTGCCTTTTGAAAGAATGATTAATAATCCACTTTCTGTGTGTGTAGGGAGTTCTGGGGATTGATCCCAAGTTTCCTGCCTGCGAGGTATGCACGTTACTGCCGAGCTGCACGCTTGGTCCATATACCACATTTTTTTGATCATTCATCTGTTTTCAGCTTCGTGGCGATTTTGAGTAATGCTGCAAGGAACATAGGTACACACTTTTTTCTTTTTTTTTTTGTCACACCCGGCGATGCACAGGGGTTACTCCTGCCTCATGCATTTAGGAATTACTCCTGGTGGTGCTCAGGGGACCATATGGGACGCTGGGAATCGAACTCGGGTCGGCTGCGTGCAAGGCAAACGCCCTACCTGCTGTGCAATCCCTCCAGCCCCGGTACACACATTTAAATAACTTTTTAAAAAAAAGTCAAAGCAGCAGCTCATTTCCCCTGTTCACATCCAGTTCTTAAAGACTGCACAGCTAATACAGTGTTCGCTGGCTGATTTTATTTATTTATTTAGTTAGTTAGTTTTGCTCTTTGGGTCACACCCGGCGATGCATACGGGTTACTCCTGGCTCTGCAGTCAGAAATTGCTCCTGGAAGTGCTCAGGGATGACACCCTACCCGTGGTGCCATCATTCCAGCCCGTCGCTGACTGATTCTTACTTACCTGTTCAAGTTAACTTGGGTCAGGCCGGGGGCGTAGATGAGAGGGCTGGAGCACATTGTTTGTGGGCAGGTGCTGTCTGTGTTTCACCCACATTTGTCAGGTGCCGGGATGGCCCACAGGCCAGTCACCAGGGCCTTCGGGAGCTCTTCGGGGGAGGAGATGAAACTGAAAAATAAGGGTTTCAGGTAGCATGCTTGCTGGGCTGGAAGTAGGGTGTTCTGACAGGAGTGGTGGCCAGGACTAGAGCTGGACACAGGCCGGAACTCTGGAAGGGGTCAGGGGCTGGGCCAGGCCTGGATCCTCCAGGTTCCTGGGGGGCCTCATGCCGCAGTTGCGGCTGAACGCGGCCTCCGGATGGTTTGCCTGTTGGGTTGTGGGGTGTCCTGATTGTGGGAATTCAGCAGACAGCCTCTCCTTAGTGCAAGCAGCCTCTGCGTGCAGCTCGGCAGTAAAGCGCATGCCTCGCAGGCCGAGGAAGGTCCTGACTCGTTCTGCCTTGCGGGGTCCCTGGGATCCTCATCGTCATCATCAGTGAGGTGGTCTGGGCCCCCCAGGGTGGCCGTCTCTCCGCTGCCTCGCTCGGTGCCCACTGTCTTCCTCCTCCTCCCCGCAGGCCTTCACCGCTACGTCTGGCTGGTGTACGAGCAGGACGGGCCGCTCAAGTGCGATGAACCCATCCTCAGCAACCGGTCCGGGGACCACCGGGGCAAGTTCAAGGTGGCGGCTTTCCGCAAGAAGTACGGGCTGGACGCCCCGGTGGCCGGCACCTGTTACCAGGCCGAGTGGGATGACTACGTGCCCAAACTCTACGAGCAGCTGGCCGGGAAGTAGCCCCAGGGCCCTGAGCCGGCCGGGCCCCCGCTGCATGTCCCCGTCTCTCCCCCGTTCCCTGTTCCCAGGCGCGCGACCTGAGCGCCCAGATGATGGTTCAGGGCGACTTCCCTTTCCGCCCGGCCGTTATAACCTTAGCGGGGCACCTACTCAGTTTCTCTTGTGATTGAATTTAAATTCCTGTCGGGGGGCGGGGAGGGATGTTGTGGAGCTATGATGGGGTCATCCAAGAATGAATTAAGGTATTAGCAGCAACCCAGAATGTAAGGGAATAATTCAGGTTCAAAGGCTTAAATAATGGAGCAGAGCATCAGAGAACCCTGAGAGGAAGCCGCAAAGGAAGAAAGATGCTTCTGCCTTCGTGAGCGGAGTCCAGAGCTGTTGCACGCTGGAACCTTCTCTGACATGGTTTCGTGATCCTGCCTGTCACCAAGACAGCGGAAGGCTCCTGGGTTGCTGGCCCCGACGTGTGGCCTGGATGCGGCGGGGTAGGTCCCCCGCTGGCTCCGCAAAGGCCAGCACTGGAAGCTGGGAGAGGGAGAGCTGCTGTGTTGTCAGGCCCTCGAGACGTGGGCTGGGAGGGGCATCACCGGGAACCTGTACATCTGCCTCTTTAAATCTATCACTTCTCCTGGGTGTAAGAGAAACCGCTCTGGGGTTGCGGAATGTGTGTTAATCCTGCTTTTCCTCGTAGTTGAATAAAGTAACAATAAAAGCATTGTGTGGCTGGAGGCCTCTGTGTGTTGCGTCCTCCAAGGGGTGGGATTTCATACACCCGGGAAGCCCCTTCTTGCACTCCTGCTGGGTCTCACTTTAAGACTGCACAGGGCCTCTGCTTACACCTAGTGTGTCATCTAGCTACAGCAGGAGGTGCCATTCAGACTTCGGGTTTAAAAAAGAAAAATCACGGGACGTGAGGCTGTCTTCCTGCCCCTCAAACACCACTTCTTTGGTAAGCGATTCTTGGCTAAGGATGAGGCTGGCAGAAAGCCTTTCCCCGCCAGGAAAGAGCTGACCCCTCTCTAGCTCTGTCCTGGCCTGTTCCCATCAAGAGAGAGTTCCCATCAAGAGAGAGCATCAAGAGAGAGCACCATCAAGAGAGGCCAGAGAGACAGTACAGGGGCTCGCCTGCTGCCTTGCCCCTGGTAGAGCCCAGTGAACTGCACACGGTCCCCCGAAACACCACCAGGCTCGTCCCTGAGCACAGAGCCGGGAGTAAGCTTTAATCACGATCAGGATGGTTGCAACTCAGTTCCCAGTAAATAAAAACTGTCTTAAAAAGAGCCAGACCCCAAGGGGTTGGGGGAGCATTCACTCATACCTCACTCAAAGGAAAGGTGCGTGAGGGTCCCCGTCACTGACCTGCAATGGATAAGAACCCCTGGACGCAGCCTGGTGGCAGGTAGGCGAGGCCGGGCCTTTGTCCCCACGCCCTGCTTGGCCTTGTTCTTCTGGGACTGCCCTTGGAGCTGGTGCTACATATAATACTTAGCTTGGTGGCTAGATATAGGAGGAAGTGAGTTTTTAGTTTATAACACACACGTATATGTGTGTGTGTGCATATATTTACATATATACATATATATAATTTTTTTTTAATTGGAAGGGGTTGCTCTGGGGGCCTCTCCTGGTAATTCCTGGCCAGCAGGACTGGCATTTGAGTGCTAGGGCATGACCTGGGCCCCCTTGGCAATGCTCAGGGGCCGCCAGGGTTGTACCCAGTGATGCTCAGGGGATTGTGGGTCATCTGCATGCACGCCGTGCCTTAATCCCATCCTACCTCTGTGGCCCCTAACACACATCGCTAAATATTTTGTCGAGTGGGTGTTACAAAGGAAACTGTCTTGGTCTTGAACTAAATGTGAAGGGGCGGGGAAATGACCAGGAAGGGCAGGGGCACACACTGTGCTGCAGGGCCGGGCTCCATGCCAGGCACCCCCATGAGCATCACCAGGGCTGGCTCCCAAAACTATGTGAGATGGAATACAGAAACATGGTCAGGTAAGGCCTAGAGCCTGGGAAGAAAACGCCTTTGCCTTTCCTGGCTCCTATAGGCAGTTGTCAGTACCCAAATGTAGTTTTAGAAGAAAAATTCAATAAAGTGTATTTTCCTCTTAAACTCTTTCTGTACAGTTTTGCCAACTGATACTCATGTGAAGGCTCTTCAGTTAATATCACATTTCACATCATTCATTTGAACAAATATTATTTTGTAGGTATTGCAGAATTAACCAGTCTGGACCCCTCCTGAGATTCAAATTCTTTCTGGCTGTTTTTCTGTTATAAACAGCACTTCAGCAAACATCTCCCACATAGCAGAATAATTTTTACAAGTAACGGAGAGGGGTGAACTCCTAGCATGAAAATAGTAGCAGGTCAAAGGGTAGGTTCACATGTTCAATACTGATTCCAACAAATCACCTTCCCAAGAGACCCCCATGTGTGTATATGTCAGTGGCAGGTGAAGTACCCCTTGACTCACACCCTTACCAGTGCTCTCAGACTTAAAGCATTTGGATGACTTGTTGCATGTATTTCAGATCAGGGCCGGAATGATAGTAGGGGGGATATAGGGCATGTCTTGCATGTACCGATCCAGTTAAATTCTCAGAACCCCATGGTCTCCAGCATGACTGGGTGCAGCCCCAGAGGCACCCCAGCATCACAGGGGTCGCCCAGGTAATCTCCAGCACCCTGGCTAGTCCCTGGCATCAGGGGTCCTGCATCAACCACATCCTTGGGCCCTCAGTGTTTGGCTGAGAATCGCTGCCCCTGCCCTTAGAATCCAAGTGGGGTTGCGGGAATGTACACTGGTGGAGGGCTGGGTGTTGGCACATTGTATGAAACCCAATCACGAACAACTTTGTAACTGTATCATGGTGATTCCATGAACTCAAATTGGTGCTGGAGTGATCGTGCAGCAGGTAGGGTGTCTGTGGCTGACCTGGGTTTGATCCCTGGCACCCCATATGGTCCCTCAAGCCGCTCCAGGACTCATCCCTGAGTGCAGAGCGCAGAGTAAGTCCTGAGCACTACCAGGGGTGGCTCCAACAAACGAAACAAAACCAAACAAAACAAATCCATTTGGTATTTGAACTCTTTTCCTTGAGGCTTATTTCAGTTAATCATAGTACTTTTAAAATCACAGTCTGAAGAGAAATGATTTATAAGTAACCTGTTAATTTCCTTATCTCAAACAGGTTTAGACAAGTGATTTGGGGGGTGGGTGGGGAGGAGAGCAGGCAAGAATACAACCCGAACCAGGTGAAGTGTACACACGAGTTTACAGAAAAAGAATAACATGTTTGGGGGCTGGAGTGATAGCACAGCCGGTAGGGCATTTGCCTTGCATGTGGCTGACCCGGGTTCGATTCCCAGCATCCCATATGGTCCCCTGAGCACTGCCAGGAATAATTGCTGAGTGCAGAGCCAGGAGTAACCCCTGTGCATCACCAGGTGTGACTCAAAAAGAAAAAAAAAGAGAATAACATGTTTGGAAAGATCCATGGGCAGCCTTTGAGGCAGGGTCTAAACTAGGACAGTGAAAGATAAAATGAGCTTGCCCGGGACACCCACCTCAACAGTGGGTGGTTCTGGTGCAGAATCCAGCTCATAAAGCTGGTCCCATGGGGACCCTGAGACGGGGGAGCATCAGTGGGCCTTATTTACCTCACAGCAGGACAGTCATTGATTGCGATGGAATGAATTCCTACATATAAATGACTAACGTGACCTCGTGGCTATATAGAAGCAAAGATCACAAACCGTCTGTTTTCCTCAAGGCTGTTTCCCGGCGATGGTACTAGCGAAGGCGCAGCTGTGAAGGGCTGAGGGTGAAGAGTGACCCTCCTTCTGCCATGGGAGAGCTAGAACAGCCCTGCCAGAGAACAGTATTTTACAGGACAACTTGGGGATTCCTCCTCACCTTGACTTCTGGCAGAATGTGCTTCAGACATGGCTTTTGTTCCGGATGTCTGAGAGTAAACCGTGTCTAACAGATGAGCTCAGAGTGCCAAAGCCCAGGGCTTGTGTCTCCTGCTTAAATAGAATCTGTCCAAGGGGCAAGACAGTGCCCCGGGAAGGAGCCACCTGCCTGAGGGTGCCCTGGGGTAGACCAGCTTTTCCACTTGACCTATTAGAATTATTCGTCTTACTAGCTCCAAGCTTGCTGGCTGCCTCTCAGTTCTTCACCATGCCATTTACTTCCAGATTCTTTCAAACGACTGCCTGAGATGCTCTCAGTGTTACTTTGCCAAGGTTCCATTCACTTCTACTATCCCTCTGACTAGATGAGAAGATGAGATTTTTCTTTTCTTCTGTTTTTTTTTTTTTCTTTTTGGGTCATCCCAGGCAATGCATAGGGGTTACTCCTGGCTCTACACTCAGGAATTACGTCATTACCCCTGGCAGTGCTCAGGGGACCATATAGGATGCTGGGAATCGAACCTGGGTCGGCTGCATGCAAGTCAAACGCCCTCTCTGCTGTCCTATCGCTCTGTCCTTGAGATGAGATATTTCTATTGCAACATTACAATGGTAATTTAAAAAAACTGAGTGTGTGTATCTAAAACATTTCAATGTTGGGGGTCTGGTTGATAGTACAACCACTGGGGCATATTCCTAGCACATATCTGATGGAGGTTCAGTTGCTGGCACCGGGAGGACCCCCAAGCATCGCCAGGCACAGCCCTGGAGGCCTGGTGATTCTCAGCACTGCACACACTGGGCGGCTGGCCTGACTGGGTGTTGGGGTTCCAGGCCTCGCGAGCACCACTTGGGAGGCTCCTCGGAAAACAACGAAGGGTGAGAGGCAGCTGAGCAGGCTGGGTGCAGGCTTTGCACATCGCAGGCCCAGGTTCAATCCCCAGCACTGTGTGTTCCATTGCCAGGAACAACTCCTGAGCACAGAGCTGGGAGTAGCCTCCGTGCCCTACAGTTTATTTTTTATTTATTTTAATTTTTAAAAAACATTTTATTGATTGATTTGGTCATTTCTGGTTTTGTACTCAGGAATCCCTTCTGGTGGGTTCAGGGACTATATGGGACACCAGGGATTGAACCCAGGTCGGCTGCGTGCAAAGCAAGTGCCCTCCCCGCTGTACTATCACTCCGGCTGGCCCTGCAGTTTAAGGGGAGCCAAGGAACCAGTCCCAATGGCTCTGCAGCGTGAGGCCCCTGAATTCAACCCCTGGTCCAGGTGACTCCCATCACTGCTAAGGCAGCCCAGGTGGCCCCCAGCAGAGCACCAGTAAGCCAAGCACTCCCGGATGTGATTCCTGTACAAGAATGATGCCTCACGAGAACAAGGGACAACAAAGCATCTGGTAAGGGGCTAAATTTATCCAGACTCTCTCCTTGAACCATGCCGAGTTCCTTCTCCCTTGCCAGGCTGTGTATGCTGACAACATCTCACACTCGGCTGAAGTTTTTTTTTTTTTTGGTTTTTGGGTCACACCCGGTGATGCTCAGGAGTTACTCCTGGTTTTGCACTCAGGAATTACTCCTGGTGGTGCTCAGGGAACCATATTTGATACTAGGAATCAAACCCACGTCGGCCGTGTGCAAGGCAAACATCCTACTCTCTATGCTATTGCTCCAGCCCCCACACTGCTGAGTTTTATGGAGTTTTCAGTGCTCATCTGGAGGACACCGGCCATCAGAAAAGAGGCTCATCCTTGGCCTGGTGTCTCCTCCACGAGGGACTTCCCATCACTCGGG